CCCCCTCTCTCTCTCTCTCTCTCTCTCTCTCTCTCTCTCTCTCTCTCTCTCTCCCTTCCCCCTCTCTCCCTCCCGCCCCCTTGTGTGTGTAATTGTGGAAACAAGGGAAGCATGGAAGAGGGAGAAGGGGGCAGAACTGTATCCTATGCACTGATGCAGGGGAATAAACCAAAGAATGACCTCTAGAACAAAGCTTATTAAATATGGACAATGAACGGAATTCCTCTCCTCTGGGGTATAACTTACTGACAAAAAGCATGCTTACTACACGGACTCTCAAGTCTGTAACTTGTCTCTGATCACCAATATCCCCTACATGCTAAAGAAGGAGTATTCTCCAAGAGTTAGATACTAACAAACCTTGAATCATGTCATTCTGAAAAGCTCAAAGGGAGCGAGTGAGGGTTCCATTTCCTGGAAACAGGGTGGTAAGAAGACAGCATTGCTCAGGGACGAAGGCCATCCCTGTGGAGCACAAGTCCCCAGATCATACGTTCTCCTTTTTATGACATTATCTAGCAGGACCCTCTCATCTGTAACACTGAGCTTTGCCCAATGGTTTTAGCAGAAATGGTTTTCAAAATTATTGTAAAAACCAGTCCATGTTCGTTTTTTTTTTAATTGGAAAATACAGGTCTGGGGATGTAGCCAGCCAGTGGTAGAATTCTTGGCTACCACATGCAAGGTCCTGGGTTCTATCTGCAGCAAGCCTGACTCCCAGAACAGAATAAAGACACCAGAACCTTCACTATAGCTAGTACTGCACCGTTTGTGCTCCCGAACATCTTTCTATTCTAAAGATATTTTCTTCTTTGATCAAAAATAGGATCTTGATATGCACATCGTTCTGTAATCTATCTTTTCCACTCCTGGTCACACGGGGTGGGGTACGGTTTAGGGGTGTGGCTCTTCCTAGCACACCTAAGGCTCAATCCCAGCACTGCAACCCACAGAGTAAAACCTCCCCCATCTCTCCCCTCTCCGCCTTCCTTTTTAGTAGCTACACAGAGACCTATTAACCCATTAAATATTTTTTAAAATGAGGCTTAAGAATTCAGTACAATAGGGGCTGGAGAGATGGCTCAGAGGTTAAGAGTACTGACTGCTCTTCCAGAGGTCCTGAGTTCAATTCCCAGCAACCACATGGTGGCTTACAGCCATTTATAATGAGACCTGGGGCCCCCTTCTGGCTTGCAAGCACACGTGGAAGGAATGCTATACACATAATATAATATAATAAATAAATATTTAAAAAAGATTCATAGAACAACAATAATACCCATCTCTAACCAATACTTATAACTTCTTATAATATATATTATAACTAACTCTTTAGGCTACTTCTAATTTTAACTTTTATGAACACTTCCAATTCCCTTTGCATAAGTCTCTACAAGAGGAATTTTGGGGGGAAAAAGAGAAATTTTTGGCACTTTCAGACCCATTGTTAAATGTTCTCTCTTTTTTTTTTTCTTTGAAGACCTACCGGGTTCTCTGTGTAACAGCCCTGATTATCCTGGAACTCACTGTTATAGACCAGGCTGGCCTCAAACTCACAGAGATCCATCTACCTCTGTCTCCTGAGTGCTGGGATTAAAGATGTGAGCCACCACCACCCGGATAAATGGTCCCTCTTCTAAGTGAAAAAGCTATTATATTTACTTTACCTGTGCTTTTGCTTAGCTTTTTGTTATTGTTTACTTTTTATTACAAAGAAGAATATACTTTTTTCAAACATTGATTAGTAATTTCAATGTTGCTAATTTACTTATTGATAAACTTTGCTCATATATAAACTAAGTCGATTATGTTTTTACTGGTTTAGGTAGGAAGAATAATTTGATTATCTATCCTTCAAATTATCTCCAGCTTTTAATTTTTGTTCTAATTTTTTGTTTCGTCTTCTTCGAGGTGGGGTCTCATCTGTGGCTGCTGTGTGGCAGTTTCTTCTGAGAGGAAAACCTTCCGTCTTGGAGGAAAGTCAGTTAAAGCCCACAATGTTGAATGGGAGAAAGGGAGGTGAAACATCCCATCCTGCAGGGAAGTTTATCAACACTGCAAGTTAACAAAGGCTTCAGGAAGCTCCCAAAACTGACCAGATTCAGTGGGCCCCTTCCTCCTCAAGCATGTAAAGGCAGAAAGGACACCAGAAGACACTCAGACCAGCCGCACACTCCAACCTGTGGAGCTGCTTACAGGCTGTGCCCTATGCTCCAGGTTCCCAGCTTTTGTGAGCTGTCACCCTTGCTGGGATGGGCTTTGGTGATGCAGCTGTCTGAGTCACTCTGCTTCTGTAAATAACCCTAGGAAAGCTCCCGGGTCTACCAGTTTGGACCTCTGTGGTATCCTCACCCTGGTCAGTCATCTGGTCAGTCATCGGTTCCCTGTCTGGAGCAGGTAGATGCTGTTCACCCCTCCTGAGAACAGTCACACACCAGTAGCCCAGGCTGCTCCAGAACTCACTCTGTAGACCAGGCCAACCTTGAACTCGTGTGATTCTCCTGCCGCTGCCTCCCAGGTGTTAGGATTGCAGGCACGTACCACCATGCCAGGCTGTGTATTTTGTTTTGCTTCTTTTTCAAACAGGGTCTTACTCTGTAGGCCAGATTATCCTTGAACTGACAGTGACCCTCCTGCTTCAGCTGCCTGGGTGCTGATTGCAGGTGTGAGCGATCACATTCAGCTCTCCATTAACGACTCCCACCTGGTGCCAGGGGAACCATGTTTAGTCTCTAGAGTGGTCCCCATGAGTCTTCTGACATCCGGCCCCAGCTCACATCCTGCCTAATCTGTGCATGGTCATTTTCCCCAACAAAATGTGCACTGGGACTTACTGTGAGAGATCGGGTTGAATTTGAAACGATAACTACACATTATTGTTGTTGAAAAGAAAAGTATTGTCTCAGGACCCCCAAGATCAAGTTCTCAGCACAAAGGAGACTTATTTGCCCCAGAGGGACAGAGGGCAAGGATAAGAGACAAAGACAGGGGATAGAGGAGGAGGAGCAGGGGAAGGGAACAAGGGAAAGGGGACAGGGATATTTGTCTGAGAGAACAAAGAACTGTCCTGGATAGAGGAGACAGATGTGGCACATGGGGAAATGGCAGTTTATAAAGGTAAAAGCCTGTGTTAGGATGAGGTGTTTGATTTTAATTGGACATGTTAATTCGGCGATCCAAAGGGGACTTTTGATTGGTGAGCTTCAATACTTTGATTTCTGGACCTTAGTAGTCAGCCTCAGGAGAAGGAAGTGGCCAAATACTAGAACAGACCCCGGGGAATGTCATCTAACAGTTTTAAGCAAGGCAGAGGGAATCAGGAGATGGGCAAGGCCTGCCAGAGCCGTGCTTGCCAGACCTGGGCTGGTTAGGGTCCCTTCATTTGTCTTTGATTTACGCCCCTTGGTAAAAGGACTGAAGGTTTGGATCAGTGGTAAATCGTGTGCTTAGCATGTGAGATTTTCTAAGTTCAATCCTCAACATCAAATAATAAATTAATCAATAAATAAATTTGTGTGTATGTGGGAATATGTGTGTATGTGGGAACATGTGTGTATGTGTGTGTGTTTATGTTCATGGATGCTTAGGGTGTGTAAGCTGGAAGAGGGCGTCCGGCTCCGCCACTCCCTGCCTCAATCTCTAAGACAGCGTCTTTCCATGAGCATGGAGCTAGGCTGTTGGCTAGCAACCTATCACAAGTCTCCTGCTTCTGTCTCCACAGTGCTGGGGTTAAAGTCAAGTGTGGGATCACACCCAGGGTTTTTACAGTGTGTCCTTGGATCCAAGCTCAGGTTCCCATGCTCAAAAGCAAGTACATTACCTGTTGTACCCTCTACCATACCCACCATACCCTCCCCCACCCTCCGTACTCTCTCCCACCCACTGTACCCACTGTATCCTCTCCCACCCCCTGTACCCTCCCCCGCCCACCATACCCTCCCCCACCCACCTCGCCCCCCCACCGTGCCCTCCCCCCCACCGCGCCCTCTCCCACCCACCGCACCCTCCCCCACCCCCTGTATCCTCCCCCGCCCACCGTGCCCTCCCCTGCCCACCGCGGCCCCCCCCCCGCCCACCATGCCCTCCCCCACCCACTGTATCCTCTCCCATTCCAGTACGTAAATATTCGAACCTTAGAAATGATTATTCGGTTCCTCTTGTTGTGGGTATTAGTGCTGGGTAGTTCCCATGCTTGGTGGCTTTTACGGTAGCTATAGTGTGGGGATACACTAACCAGTGGATTCTAAGCATAGGAAGAACACTCAGTCTGACTGGAGTTTGAATCAGGGCCCAGGTACTTCCTTGCTGTGTGACCATGGGCGAGTTAGCCTTCCTTAGCTCTAACTCCCTTGTCTGCTCTCATCTGCAGAGCACACCTAATAATTATCCAGCTCATAGGGCTGTTGTGAGAATAAATGAGGGCCGAGTGTGGCCCAGAGGAAAGCGTGAGAGAGGCTCTGGCCTCTCCTGAGCACCACACACTGAGATCCATGCCTACTGCTCATGCCTATTCTGCAGACCATGCACTGACTCGCTAGTTGTCTGGAACATTGCCACAGAGTCTCAAAGGCTTTAAAATGTCTGTGGAGGCGCGCTTTGAATTTCTAAGGAGAAGCATTTTGTTTAGCCGTAGCGTTTACTTAACTCCTCCAAAGCAAAGTACTCATGACCTCTGGAACATCATAGAGGGCTGACAGAGTCCCAGCATAGACACAAGCTGTTTCTGCTTTGATGAGACATAAGGCCGTTCCCAGAGAGCAGCTGCCCTCCTGGCGTTCTGTGTGGTGTGATGTTCACCAGGTCAGCGAGTTAGTCAGAAACTTCCTCCCCACAGTCCCTCACACTCCCACACCCCCACACCTCCACAGCCCCCAAAGTCCCCATACCTCCACACTCCAACACCCCCACAACCCCCCACAACTCCCCACAGCCCCCCACACTCTCACACCCCCACACCCCCCCCCCCCGCACACCCCTCCCACCACCCCAACCCCCCCCCCCACCCCCACAACCCCCCACAACTCCCCACAGCCCCCCACACTCTCACACCCCCACACCCCCCCCCCCCGCACACCCCTCCCACCACCCCAACCCCCCCCCCCACCCCCACAACCCCCCACAACTCCCCACAGCCCCCCACACTCTCACACCCCCACACCCCCCACAGCCCCTCACAACTCCCCACAGCTCCCCACAGCCCCTATACCCCCACAGCCCCCCACAGCCCCACAGCCCCTACACCTTCACAGCCCCCCCAGCCCCTCCAGCCCCTCACGGCCCCAGCACCGTGGCCCAGGGCACCCCCCACCACAGGCTCAGTCTTTCATTTAGTTCGATACGCTCGCTACTACTGCCTCTGGTTGTTCGTCATCGCTGGGAAACGATCAAATAAGCCATGCGCTTTTAACTCTAGCAAACCCTGGAGTTCCCTGTTAAAAATACCTTGGCGAGCTGCCACCGAGCCGCAGCAAACACAATAACGGCTCGGCGCTCAGCCGTCCCGGCTTGCCGTCATGCGCACGCCATGCAGTTTTAGCAACTTATTTCTGACAGCGACATTAACTAGCAATTTGTCTAGGAGTGTTGCGTAAACACGCGAAGAACACGGAACACCTTTCCACAGCACACACAGGAACAGAAGGACAGAATGTCAAACAGTCTTCAAGAAGGTACTTGACTGGCGTGCTGCCAGCAGAATTGGGGCAGATTCAGCTCGAGTACCTCACTTCATAGCCGCGACTCTGTTCGTCCAGACTGGACAGCCACCCTGTCCCCCTGACCATCTATCTGGCAGCAGTCCTGAGCTATGGCCACAGCTAATGCAGCCCTCTCTGAAGATGGCAGTACGCCATCACTAAGCCCTTCGGAGGCCTCGATGCTCTGACTCAGTTTCAGGGAGTGCAGCAATCAGTTTGGCACGAAGTCACGGAACAATTAGATCGAGCTCCTTTCTCATCGATATAAAGTCCCTTCTTCCCGACAGAGGCCTGGCCTGGGTGGAGTTACAGAGATGAGGCTAGGAATCAGCCTAAGACACAGAGATCGCATCTGCTGTGGAGATGTAATCTGGTGTACACATACACACACACACACACACACACACACACACCACACACACACACACACACACACACACACACACACACACACACACTTACACTCCTGTCTTTAACATTGCCCTGTCTGTCTGGAGGGCACAAACTATTATTTTGTATCCCTTACGATACTAGACCTAGATTTGAGCAAAACTAGTTCAATGTGTATATTGAGACGGGGCTTCTCTGTGTAGCCTTGGCTGTCCTGGAACTTGCTCTGTAGACCAGGCTAGACTTGACCTCAAAGATCCCCTGCCTCTGGCTCTCGAATGTGTGTGCAACTACACCTGCCTAGTTCACTCTTCATAGTTGTGCACTTGAAGGATACTGTTATTGGTTTTTTAAGGGACTAGATAGGAGGAAAGGGGAAGAAACCACCAAAGAAACACTGGATGTGACCACAGACATCTCCTAATACTTTACTGTCTCTGTACTGTCGCACAAAACAGAGATGCGACAGAGATGCGGAGCAGACAATGGGCACTTGGTTACATGTGCACCTCCCTGTCTGTTCATGCCGTCCCAGCAGACAGAAGCACTAACTGTCTGCCTAGTGACTCAGGAGAAAGGAGCACGCTGTGAGCCTGGATAAGCCAGGACCAGGCGGACTCTGTTGGGATTGGACCACTATCTCGTGGCATTTGGGAGATGGGTGTTGTACGGGTGGGTCAAGACAATGGAGGGGTACGCCTTCTCTAGAGATCTGAACAGTGGACTGTAAGACCCACCAAATGGATCTGTTCTTATCATCGCGTGCTGGCAGGACCCAGCAAGGTTGGCGATAAAATTCTTTCCACTCTGGGCTACCCCTGTGCCCCTTCTAGACTCTGAATACAACAGAAAGGACTTCTTCTTTGCCTGGTGTAAGCCACATAACAGGGGATTATGGGGAAAGGCCACTAAGGTGGGAAATAAGACTAGAGATCCTCCAACTCCTTTGCTTTCTTTTCCTATCATTATTTTGTTTTTGTTTTGGCCATGACAACCTCGCTGCAAAGGTCTTGAAGTATTTTGCATAGATCTGATCCTTGCTAAAACCCAATTTGGGGGCTGGGCATGTGCACGGTAGCAGAACACTGGCCCCACCGGTACAAGGTTCGGGGTTCCGTTTCTGGTCTAGGAATAGAATTCCATAGTTCAAGAAAAATGTCCACTCTCAGGTAAAGGGCTCAGAGATGGTTAATGGGGGATTTGATCAAAGTAAACTGGAGGGATAAAGGAAAATATAATGACATCTATTATCTTGTGACAATAATGTACCCTAAAAGTAACAAATGTATATATTTAAAATGTCAATCTGTGTCAATACTTCCATCATCCCAATATTCAGAAAGCTGAGGAAGGAAGATCATGAGTCCAAAGCCAGCCTGGGCTACGTAGTAAGACCCCAACTCAAGACAGAGGCAGAGATGGGGGGCTACGTGGCGTGGCGAGAGAAAGGAAGGGAGGAGAAAAGGAGAGAAGGGGAGAGCACGGAAGGGGAGCAAGGAAGTACAGTCGGTGAGGACAAGAAAGTGAAAGTCAAGGGCTGGGGTGGGCTCTGACAGAGCTGCCTTTCCCAGAAGCCTTCTTTCATCAGGAGGATGGACAGTGTGGCCATCATTAAATCCACCCCTTATCTGCCGTCCCTCTCCTGCTTTCTGAATCATTAAGGTCACCTTATGGGGAGGGGAGGGTCTCAGGGGTCAATGCCAACAGCTACTTGATGACGATGTCTCAATTGTAACAAGTGTGTCACCTGTGGTGACGCTGAGCTGCCGCTTTTAATATCATATGCCTGTGGAAGTCACCAGAACAGATGTGGTCAAACACTGAGATTGGCCTGCTAGAACTCCAGGACCGGCTCCCCCCGGACGGGGAATGGGTGAAGCCCTGGCAGGTGTCCTGTGAGTCAAAGCCAGATGGTTCCAGACCCACGGAGGAGTTCAGATACTCACTTGCAAAATGATCGGTTCACACAGAACAACTCTCCAAACAGATAAGGGCTGTTTTGTCTTACAGGAAGCTTATTTCAAGACCAACCTCTCTATGGTTTAAAAAGAAAACCAAGATTTTTTAATACAATTTCTTTATCGTACAATCCTGTAAGAGCAGGTCTCTTCAGCGATGGCGGTAATCGCAGAGTGAGATCCAGGTGCCTAAAACAGCTGACATTTCTTAATCCCAAGGGTGCAGTGATGGTGTTAATAGTTTGAGGGTGCTCGGTACTGACCTATGCAGCGTCTCGTTAGGAGGGGAAGGTTAAAATATGTGGAAAAGATACACCTCTGGGATGTCCCTTGTCCTACAACAGTGGCATTATTTTCCTTTCTTTTGCCTTCCTCTTACTATTTGGAATCTCATTTTAAGTGAGATAGAGTATTTTCCCAACTAGAGATGAACTGGAATATAGAGACACCCCAGGAGGTAACACACTGGACTTCAGGTTGAGGTTGGCCTGGGTAGGACTGTGGAGAGAGACACAGGCTGGTGAACTATAAGGCAGCACCCTGGGATTCTAGGGGAATAGCTGTAGAGAGACAAAGACCCCAAAGGAAAACCTAATAACGTCTTTACGTACAGTACTGTGGCCTTGGGAACAGCCTGCTGACGGGTGGCTGCATTCCGGAAGCATCTAAGACAGTGCATTGATAACTCGTGTATTCACGGCCATTCACCATGCTCCCAAGCTTCGCTCTGTGTTCTGACACAAGCGCTCTGTCTGTCACCATCACCACTGAGCTCTGCCGCCTGGACATCTTCCTGTCACCCAGCAGATAACTTGGTGACCCCCCCCAAACCATAGCCATGCTCTGAAAAACTTGGCCCCTCCTTAATCCCTTCTAGCTTTCTCCACCTACTGAGCAAACAACTCTCTAATTGCAATCCCCCAAACTCACTAATTTCCCTCCTCACAAAGATGTTATCATTTAAATGATACCATCCAGGGCTAATAAATTACACCTGGCCCCAAGGCACTAAAATTTTCTATCAAGCAGAGCCACCTAGTGGCAGAATGGAGTACATTTTTAATTTTCATTGAATTTCTCTCTGATAGTAATCCAGACTGGGTGGGTTAGGGTCCTTTGTTTGTTGGCTTGCTTTTTGAAATGTTCCTCCTAATCACAATTATTGAAAACCAGCTCCTTTGGGCCTGTCCTCGCCACCTGTTTCCTTACCAAACATCTCTCCATCCAAGGCAAATAACCTCACAGTTCAATTTGCTATAAACAGCAAATTTCAGGACTAAAACGGAAGCCGGCTCAATAGGGTCTCTTTGAAACTTCAAGGACACATCAATACTAATTTATATCTAAGGACAAAGAGCTACTGGGACACTTTGTAGTTTCCAAAACACGCTTCCTGACCGCACAGTCCTCCATGTAAGCTGACAAATTAAATTGCCAGGCGTAGGGAAGGCGAACAAAACATCGTACTGTGGTTGTGGCCCGCTTCCACCCTCCATGACCCCTGAGAGAAAGCAGATGTAGACATACCTTGGGCTGAGGTTTGGCTCCTTTTCTTCCTTCAAAGTAGGTAAACATTCATGGTCGGCTAAGATGGCAGAAAAACAAGTCCATTGTTAGTCACCAGAACTGCCTTTTCTGTCCACAAAACTGACACCGCCGGGCACGGACTATACCCTCTATGTGGTGAAGAAACAGCCCTGCTAGAGAGTTCTAGAGGTTCAAAGATTAATGATGCCAAGACTCTTGAAATGATAAGCACCCGAGTCACACAGACACGAAGCCGCAATGTTCTGTGCCCCTGTTGAAAAGGGCACAATCCATCACGGCTTGCTTAGTTGGTCCCTGAAGCCCACTGTGTTCTGAAAACCAGAATATGCCTCTTGGAAGCCAGATAAGGGAATAAGACAGCTGTGCCTCAGGGCCTGAAGTGTCTGCAGAACAACTTATGGCAGGAGCATCAGGAAGGTGGGAAGTGGCCAGGTTCTCCAAGGGAGCTTCTTTCTTCTCTAACACACACACACACACACACACACACATACACACACACATTCATGCACATGCACACATGCATGCACGCACATGCACACAGCGGCGTGGTGTATTGTATGCATACCCATGTATGCCCACGTGGAGGCCACAGTTTGGCACTGGGTGCCCTCACTTATGGCTCTTCACCTTGTTTTTTGAGGCAGGGTTTCTCACTGAATACACAGTACTCTCTTCTGGGCATCACGCATGTGCACAAATGCTCCTGCTTGCACACAGATATGGACATACACACACATAAGCTAGTAGCTAACTGGGTAGACCTATTTTAAACATAGAAATGAATGACCCGAAGAGGTCATCCAATGGGCAAAAATGTCTCCTTAGTGCACAAGCATCGAGTTCTTGAGCTCAAATCCCCAGCACCCATGTGAAAACCTCGGTATGGCTATATATACCCATAAGTGCACTCACAGTGTGTATGCGTGTTCATGCACATGTGTGTATGCGGGGGGGGGGGACACATGGGCAGAGACATCTTGCTGTCTGGACCGTCTAATCAAAAAGCAACAAGTTCCAGGTTCAGTGAAAAATTCTCAAAGGAATATGAACGGAGTGTGTTAGAGGGCAGCTTTCCTTTGCACAGACATACACACACACACCACTACACCACACATACACCACACACACATACACACACACACCACATATACACACACATACCACACATACACACACACAAACACCACACACACACATGCACACAAACATCACACACACATACAAACATCACACACACAAACATCATACACACATACACACACAAACATCACACACACGCACACACATGCACAAACTCAGAAAGGAACAAATAACTGCACCATCTCCCTTTGAAAGGTCCCATTTCAAAGTGTACACAATTAAAAACAGGTGCTAACCACAGATGTGATGCTGATGATTAAGCTGGACACTTAAGGACCATTCAGACCTGTGCCAGATGGAGTGTGGCTTCAGAATTCCTGAGCGGCTGCTGAAGCCGAGGCAGCCTGCTAACCTTCCATCACCAAAGAGGTAAACAGACACTCCCGGTCTCCACGTACCGTTCCTAGCCATGCTGCTCATCCACTTGTCCAGCTCCTCCATCTCTATTTCCATCACGGAGGGTGTGTCCTCTTCAAAAATAGGGCTAGACGGAGGGCAGAAACGCACGTTTAAAAAAAAAAAGAACAAGCCCCGCCGACTGAATTTCATCGGGGGAAGAGTCTAGCACCTTGCCTGGTTAGAAACAACCTGATTCAGTGTGTGATGCCCCAGTCCCGCCCAAGGTCTGTCCTCATCAAAGGAGTATCAAACTAACAGCAAGAAAGGCAAAATCTGCAAGAACCCCTCACCTGTCACTGAGGCCAAACCGATGACATAGAGGCCGGGGGTGAACTCAAAGAGAAACTGCTCCCTGGAGACCAAAGCCACGGTTGCCAGGGTGCTCAGAGGCTGCCTCATTCAGCTTCCTGGCCTCGCCTAGTGACACTTCTCTTTTCTAGAATTTTGATCAACGACCCAGATCAAGAGGCCAGTCGGCAGGCTACTTTTATCTGGTCTTTTTCAATGCCCAGGCTTTTCCAACTAGGAACAATGGAAGTACCGCTCTCAGAAGTGCCCTGGTCCATGTCCCAGGTTTTGAGGGTATAAATAGGGGCAAAAGCTCTGGTCAGGACGGATGGGGCCATCAGGATGGATGGAACCAGGGAGGAAAGACCGCAGCTCTGAGTGCGTCGCGGATGTCGCACTGGGAAACGAAGCAGGTCGTGTCTGCTCCAGGAGAGATGATGGGAGGGGCAGGAGAGTCATCGCTCCATGCTTTTGGTGTTCACCCGGAACCAGAATATTTAACTGCTATGAATCGGGCACTGGTAGCACCCAGACAAAAATTCCTTTCTGGCAGGTGGCAACAGCAGAGACCACTGGGCAAGGTTTGGAGACGAAGACGTATCTCCCATGTGACTGTGGGGGCTGCCAGAGTCCAGGGGTACTGGCCCACAAGAGAAACCACCCTGACGGTTAACGGCGCTGTCCTCCCCCCCCCTTGACTACTGTCCACATGGCAGGAGAACCGAGGCCTGGTGGGGAGGGCTCACTTACACTTTCAGGTTTTCGCCAATGGGCTCGTCTGAAAGAGAACACACAGGAGTCATGTCAGCACTGACCATCTGCAGGGACTACGGCAACAACCCCCTAGTCTCCTTTACAACGGTAAGGAGATCGCGGCGAGTGAATCCTCTTTTCAAAAACCTTGCTTTTACTGCATTTATTCTGTGCGTGGGGACCCATAGCACTTAAGCAAAGACAAGGGGACAGTTTGAGGAAAGTGGTTTTCTTCTTCTACCACGTGAGTTTCGGAGATCAAATCCAAAGCCTTTACCACTGAGGCACCTTGAGGCCCGTGGGTCACATTGCTAAAGCAGCCACCATTAGCCTCCAAGGCACACAGTGCAGATTGCTGCGGTGAAACCAGGTCCCAATCCCCCCCAGAACCTGGGCTCTGCCACCTTTAGCGGTGAGTGCTCCCTGGGAGTGTTCACCTTCCTTGTTATTTTTGTATCCATGCGAAGAAGAAGAAAAGCATGGTCAGGAAAGAAAGGAAGTGTTAAAAAACAAACAAACAAATGAGCAAAACCAGGGGTTGATTCCTGACCTGCCTTCAACAAAACAACGTTCCAGATCACTTCCTTACGACATATCGTTCTGAGCCTATGCCACATGGGCAACCCCATCAAGGGATGCCTTTGAAAGTCCCCTTCAGCCCGCTCTTTGAACGTCTAGATCCCTCCACCTCTTAGGCAGTCATCCCCACCTCTATCCAGGAAGGCCCATCCATCCCATGGGTCCTGGGCTCTGCATTTTGCTTGCTTCCTTCACTGTACTGGCCAGTTTCTCACCTCTTGGACCATCTGCTTGAGTCTGTTTCTTCTGCCTTTCCCACTAGAGCATAGCTCCCAAAGGGCCAGGAGAGCATCTATCTGCCTTGCTCACCGTGACATGCCCCAGCCCCATCCTGCTAGCGCAGTACCCAGCCAACACCTGGCAAATACTCACTAGGCAGATGAATAGGTTTTAATCTCAGTTGTCTACGATGGAGTTAAACTCACGTCTGATATCTTGGACCTTTCATTATAGCGGGACTTCCAACCAGCTTGCCTTCAATGGATGCTGATTGGGGTGAGAGTCAGGTGAAATTTGACAAAACAGCTCTAACGTGGCTAAAACTCCAAATGAGCAGGTGGCAAGAATCATAGCCTGGCCCAAAGCAAGCTCTGTTTAATTTGGCAGGGAGACCAACATCCCCCTGGGAAGGGAATCAGGGATGACAAGTGGGTGCACTGTGAGCAAGACAGGTGCTCTGGAAAGCAAACCTTTGCCAAGGTCCCCGGAGAGTCAGATGCTCCCGACCCCTGGCAGCGGAGGCCGCCTGGTGTCTAGCCTGCTGAAGTACAGTTATTGGCAAGCAAACACAGCAGCGGGCACCCGGGACTGAGCTCAGGGCAGCTCAGGCTGCCGTGTCCTGCCGGTTGGCACACTTCAGCGGCATGGCTAGCCCAGGAGAGCTGGGGCAGATGCAGGGTTCATGCTGTCACTGCTTGCCTCGGAGGCACTGTGGGTCCTGTCTTCCACCCCTGAATAGGGTTGGAAGCCTCCTGCGATCCTTGACTCTCCAGCAGCTTAGGAGGCGGCAGGATGGCTTCACCTTACATGTTCTGTGCCCCCAGTTTTGTTCCCGTTGTTTGAGATGGGGGGAGGGGTCTCACCTAGTTCAGGCTGGCCTCAAACTTGCTGTATGTTTGAGGGTGACCTTGAACTTCTGACCCTCTTGCACCAGCATTATAAGCATGCCCCCCCATGCCCCCATGTCTGTGGTGCTTGGGGACTGGACCCTGTAGAGAGAACCCCCTGCCCGTCACCCTGCACTTCTGAACAATCCCTGCTTACTAACTTTCCCACTAATTTCTCAGGGAGCAAGTGACCCCAAAACCCTGCTCTGATCTTTCCCTCATCTGGGCTTCCCCACAGGCTTGGGGGTGAGGAGGAGCTGACCTGCATGCAGATGATGGGAAAGTTTAAAACCCCATTACCGAAGTGCTCCAGATACACCAAATGAGAGGCTCTGTAATCAGTATTAAAAGAGCAAAAAGCCTTCCGTGGCCTCATCTTCCCTGCACCAGGGCCATTACCTCTGCCCCAGCCACCATGGCAACAGTAACACATCCGGGGAGAGTACCGGAGCGGAGCATTAAGCCAGGGGGAGACCAATTACTTGTCCTCAGCAATCAGGTCCCGCCTGTTCCACTCCACATGGCCTACATCTCTATTAACTGCCACCAATTCAGGGCACCCGCCCCCATTCCATCCCGCCATGTCATGGCCTCCCCCACCTCACTCTTTTCCTTCACGGTCATGTGTCTTGACGAGACCCTCCCAGCACCTCTTCTCTCTGGGTCCTGGACGGTGAGGTCGTCGGCTCAATGGCCAAGGGAAGGAGCCACAGAGGGCTCTGGCCACCCGGTTTCCTGATTGAGCCAGAGACTCACTGAGCAGAGTTACTGTGATGGTAACAACCCGACCCAACTGTCAGCTGATCGTGTGTGTGTGTGTGTGTGTGTGTGTGTGTGTGTGTGTGAGAGAGAGGGGGGGGGGGCACACCTTTCTCAGCATCGGGTGGATGCACTGGGTGTCTCTCAAAGAACCGCTGTGCACCATGGGCAGGAAGTCTTCACTCAGAACAGGCTGTGGCTGCCTGATGCCTGTCAGCCTTTAGTTTAAGAAAAGGGAATTTGTATTTTTATAAAAATAGTGGCTAGTATAGGGGGGAAAAATGAAAGGTCTCTACTGAAAGCTTTTCTGGGGCAAAAGAGATGGCTCAGTCAGTCAGGAACTTGCCTCACAGATACAAGAACTTGAGTTCAATCCCCAGGACCCACGGCAAAGTTCTGGGAAAGGGGTCCATGTTTGCAATCCTGGCCCTGGAGAAATGGGGACAAGAGGACCCCGGGGCTCTGCTGGCCGCTCAGTCAACCCTATAGCCACTGCAGGGCACCGTGTTTCTGAAGCAGACGCTCCAGCTTGCCCTCTGACCTCCACACACATGTGGTCATGCATGCACATGGAACGGCACATACATGGACATACACCCGCACATATCCGTATGCGTGTGTAAAAAACTTCTCTGAAATCCATGGTTTCAGAATTCTAAGTTTTCTATGCTGTATTTTCTTAAAGCGGGGCATATTTAAGCCAAGACAACGTGCCAATCTGTGCTAGGGATAATGTGTAAATCTGGCCTTTGTTGTTGTTGAGACGAGTCTTGTTTTGTAGTCCAGGCTACCCCGAATCTCGGCATCTTTCTGCCTCAGTTCCTAATTGCTGGGATGACAGCCTTACCTCACCATGCAGGTTTGTAATTTTGCTTTTAACCTCTGAAAGTGTGAAGTTTTCTTTTAAAAAGGATTTGGCATTCATTCATTCGCTCATCCACACCTTCAACAAGTATCAAGCAGCAAACATACTACAGACTGAAGATCACGTTGGGCAAACATATAAGTGAAGGGGATGGAAGGACGGCTCAGTGGTTAAAAGCATTTATCTCTCCTGTAGAAGATCAGGGTTCAGCACCCACAAGGTGGCTCACAACAGTCTGTAACTCCAACTCCAGGGGATTTGATGGCCTCTTTGGGATTCTGAGACACCTGTGTAAACCCACACAGACGTAGATTGCTAGCATTTAATAGTCTAGGCGTGTTTAAAGACACAACTTCATTTAATTTCACAGCTCTATGAGGGTGTTGAATTCACCAACAGGCACGAGAGCTGAGTCGGAGGAATCTGTAGAGCTAAGCGGTTTGATTTCATTGTCTCTCTCACCTCGATGAGAGGTCATGACATCTCACCGTGCCCGGCAAACAGGAGGGTAGAGGCAAGTTCTCGGTCCTTTTGACCTTCAAGCAGAGCTTGACGTGGCCGGTCAAAACAAAACAGGAAACAACCTACGAGTGCCCTTAGGAGGCCAGCGTGAACCCTGGGAACAGTGAGCGTGGATGCAGAGACAACACGCGGGGGGGGGGGGGGGGGGGGGGGGGGGGGGGGGGGGGGGGGGGGGGGGGGGGGGGGCGATGAACTCAGCCCAGGGAAGGGGTGGAAGTTTGCCAAGCACACAAGAAAGTCCAGACAGAAGGAGTTCTGTAGTCACCCGGCCTCTGGCCTCCCTGATGTCAGGTCAGGCTCTGGACCGGCAGAGGCTTGGACAGTGGCTAAGTGTGGGATGCTTGGGGGATGCTGGGGCCCAGACGGAGGGTGGGGCTGCTCCTCGCATAAGAGCTCTAAAGGCTAAACTAGAACTTTCCGTGAGATTGGAGGTCCCGGCCCTGGACTCCCCTGGGTACTGAGGTTTCACAGGGAACTCCCTACTTCCTCTGAGGTTAGAAAAAGAGGAGGAGAGGAGAGAGCCAGGTGCGGTGTTACATGCCTGTAGCCCAAAGCTACTTTAGAGACTGAGCAGGAGAACCGCTTTGAGGAAGGTGCTCAAGTCTGCACCAGGGCAATGGTGCGGGGTGGGGTGGGGTGGGGCCTGGAGGGTGGGGGGGTTGGGCGTGGTCCAGGCAACAGGGGGGAGCGTGGTCTGGGTAGCTCCATTGGGTCTTGCTTTAACCACAGATTACAGAGGAGTTCCCACGAGACCACTGTTGCTAGGTTACTCTCAAATATCAAGTGGTAGAGAATGGGTTTCCTCTTCCTCTTTTATTTTACCAGTTCCTTCTGTGAGAGAAGAGGTTAGCGCTTGCTCCCCAGCTCCATTTACCTCCTCTGTTGGCTGTTCCCTGAGCTCAATGACTGTCCTGGAGTGAGACAGAGAGCAAGGAAACCAAGGTGCGCTGTTCGCGGGCCTGGAGGACACAGAATGGATTTTCTATGGAAGCCTGACCATGCATCTTACTTGAGAAGCTCCTATCCCTGAAGTGAAGTTTGAAATAACTTTTAAAAGCTTCAATTTAAAAAACTGAAGCCTAGGTCAGAGAGCTCTCTCAGCAAGTAAAGACGCCCCTGCCAAGCGTGAGAACCGGGTTTGATCTCTGAGACCCGGTTGGTGAAAGGAGAGAACCAATTCCTGCAAGCTGTCCTCTGACTTCCACACGTGCACCAGGGTGTGTGCATGTTTGCACCCCCCCCCACACACACAAATATAATTTAAAACAAACAAAAACTGGAGCCAGTCATATTTTACTAGTTTGGGACCCAGCACATCCTGAATTCTAGCTTTCCGCTCATTCTTAACTATACTTTAAGAGCACACCTGTGGCCCGGTGGTGCTGGTGTACGCCTTTAATCCCAGCACTCGGGAGGCAGAGGCAGGCGGATCTCTGTGCGTTCGAGGCCAGCCTGGTCTACAAGAGCTAGTTCCAGAACAGGCTCCAAAGCTACAGAGAAACCCTGTCTCGAAAAACCAAAACAGCGCACCTGTGACCGGGAGTTTCCTACCCCGGTTCCAGTCAGTCATCTTTAGCCAGTTAACAATTCCCAAATGGCTTGAGGCTTCAGTGGGAACAAGAGGAAAGTTTCACTCCGCCCTTCTCAAGGTCAAACTGAGGTGTGGGGTGGGACAAGAAATGTCCATCACAGAAACGTCGACCAAAGACCCCTCGTCATGGGAGAGTGAAGACCTCTTCAACCCTTTATCCTTACCGCCAATCTGACTCACACCTCACCTGCCTGACCCCTTCCTCTCACAAAGTGAAATGTCAGATTCCCTAGTGGGCAAGGTACTCCAAGACCCTGTCTCAAACATGCTCCAATAACAGCAGCATATTAGAATTTCAATGTAGACTGAAAACTTAGAAAAACACACAGAAGATGGCATTATTAACTTCTGAAAACTTCTGTGGGATAGAGCACTCATCAGTTATACTCCCC